GCCACCGCCCCACGGCCAAAGTGTCCCCTTGCCCCGTGTCCCCACGCCAAGGGACACCAAGGGACCCAACGCCGCTGTCCCCTTTCCGGGTGTCCCCACGCCGGGTGTCCCCTTGGCAGGTGTCCCCATGCCAAACATCGCCATACCAAGTGTCCCCTTGACATATGTCCCCAAACCAGGCATCTCCATGCCAAGTGTCCCCTTGCCAGGTGTCCCCATACCAGAAGTGTCCCCGCACCAGGTGTCCCCTTGGCAGGTGTCTCCATGCCGAACATACCAAGTGTCCCCTTGCCGTGTGTCCCCATAGCAAGTGACCCCATACCAAACGTCCCTGTGCCAGGTGCTCCCATGCCAAGCATCTCCATACCAAGTGTCTCCATGCCAAGCATCTCCTTACCAAGTGTCCCCTTGACATGCGTCCCCATACCAGGTGTCCCCACACCAGGTGTCCCCTTGGCAGGTGTCTCCATGTCAAACATCTCCATACTAAGCATCCCCTTGACATGTGTCCCCATACCAGGTGTCCCCTTGCCAAGCACCTCTATGCCAATTATCCCCACCACAGGTGTCCCCATGTGAAGTGACCCAATGCCAGGTGTCCCCATGCCTGGTGTCCCCTTGCCATGTCTCCCCATACTAAGTTACCCCATACCAAATGTCCCTATGCTAGATGTCCCCATGCCAAGCACCTCCATACCAAGTGTCCTCTTGCTGTGTGTCCCCATACCAGGTGTCCCCACACCAGATGTCCCCTTGGCAAGTGTCTCCATGCCAAACATCTCCATACCGAGCATCTCCTTGACATGTGTCCCCATACCAGGTGTCCCCATGCCAAACATCTCCGTCCCAAGTGTCCCCATCCCAAGCACCTCCATACCAAGTGTCCTCTTGCCGTGTGTCCCCATACCAGGTGTCCCCACACCAGATGTCCCCTTGGCAAGTGTCTCCATGCCAAACATCTCCATACCGAGCATCTCCTTGACATGTGTCCCCATACCAGGTGTCCCCATGCCAAGAAGAGCCCCACAGGGTCCCAGGCCTCCTCCAGCCCCTGTAGGTGTTCACACTGGGGGATGGCAGTGTCACCCAGCGGTGAGCAATGCCAGAGGGTGGGAGAGGTTGGGGACAACCCCAGGGAGCAGGCTGGCCTGGACGGGAACAGGCATGGGCAGGGGACACTGTGGGTATGGGACATGGGGGACACGGTGCCCGTCACAGCCTTAGCCCCAGGGACTTCAGAGGACACCACTTGGGAGAAAGTGTAATGGCTCCAAGTGACGGCATTTAATGTGCTGTTGTGGGGTGGGGACAGGGACATGTGCCAGGCGGGAACGGGACAGGGACGTGAGACAGCCTGAGCCAGGTGGGATGGGGCTGGGGACCATTGGGATGGGCATCACAGGATGGGGACAGTGCCCTTCGGGATGGGGACAGCTGCACCCCCTGTCTCCCTGCCTCAGTTTCCCCAGGAGAGCTCATCTCGGCTGAGGACAGAGTGACAGGGAGGGAGGTGACATGCCCAGGCACCTGGGGTGACACCGAACCCCTTTCCTAGTGATCCGGTGAGAGCCGCCCGTCCCCCTTGGGCTCACAGC